GCCGAGGAAACAAAGAAATTGGTTGTCTTTTGTAACAACTAAACATTTCATTTTAATGATATTAACATTCTTAACAAAAAAAAAAAAATACTCACTTGTTTGGTAATGTCTAGGGTTAATTAGGTTGCTCGTTTTTGCTAATTCGTTAACCGCATTGTTTTCTCTTATGGGACGTACGAATGCTATTGAATACCAGATCAATAGGTCTGCATTTTCCTATGATAATGTATAGCGAGATTGATTTTTTGACTAAAGCATTTGACTTCCTCTTTATGGGACGTACTACTATATATGTATTATTACTGTAAGTTTGATTACTTTAATTTGAATGAACCATGTATAGACATTTTCTTTCTAGTATCATTATATGTGCCAAGGGATTTTGGTCAAACTGGTGGATGATAAAAATGAAGAAGGTTAAATGATTGTTCATGTTTTTTTGGGTTAAAACACAATATTATAGTTGTAGCCTGTAGACATTTTTTTTTTTTTTGAAATACATATAATAAGATAATGTAATATTATTTGAGACATTGATATAGTAGTACACATAGATATGTTATATATTCAACTGCAAAATAAAATGATTAATTAGTTTATTAAAAGGAAAATACATGGTCCTTTAAACACTAATTATATTTTTATGAAAATATTACATTATTTTTTAATCCATGGTAGTGCAAGTGCTGGCGGCTTTATTAGATTTTTTCAAAGTAAATTCCATCAATTTTTGCAATTCATGAACGTATCTCACCACATCAATTAAGATTGGTTCCTTTGAAAATAACTCATCCACAACCCTTGCTCAAAGTCACATTGCCATAATGTGTTCCCCCACCAACTTTCCCCAAATTTAATCAGTTTGGAGTTATTGAACTCTAAATACCCAGTGACTATGTCTTTGTCTCTGGAATAGCAAAAGTATTTGAGAAGTCTACCAGGACCAAGTTGGTTTCGAATCTCTACTGTATTTTTTGGGCAACTGAAATATACTTTTGCTTCGTTTAACCCAAAGTACATAGCAATAGCTAGCATAAAAACTACAAGACTATTCATGTTTTGGATTTTCTTTTTATCATTTTTTTTTCAGTCGCGTGAATATAAAACCATCTAAATGTAGTATTTATAAGATTTTTTTTGTGGTAAACGATTTTTGTTTATTAAATAAATAGCTTGTCATGGCCTCTATTAGCTATGTTTAAAATTAACATAAGACAACTAATTTTTAACCATAAAAGAATTTAGTGTAGAAAAGTATGGTTGACCAATAAGATTATCTAAACACGATAACTTGATAAATTATAGCTGATCACGAACACAAAACAAAACCAAAAGTCTAATCTTGTAAATGTATTGTTTAGTGATGTCCAAGAATATTTACCATTAGCATTGAAACAACATTTTTTCTAATTGATTGACATAATTTATGTTTTTCTGTTTTCGTGGAAGTTTCGAATCTTTGACTCATATTCTCTTCAAGTATCTGAAAATATATTTTCGATATTTTGATTTTATGAATAATTTTACATCCCAAAAAGAATTTGAATCCGAAACATAAAAAAACCAATTTCATTTTGTTACCACTAAACAACCACCTTTTTGGTTTCTCAAAAA